CCCCCCCCCCCCCTTTTTTTTTCTTTTTTTTTTAATGTGAGGTTAGCATTACATTGAGAAAAGCCATAGCATTTGGAGACTGCAAAATATCATTTAATGTAAAGCACGGGAAATTAAGAACAAAGTACTCAAAAGATTACCATTATTTTTCCTTTCAATATGAAGGAACAGTCTGATGAAGGTAAGGAGGTGCCGAGAGGTCTTGGGAGTGAGAAGGAAGAAAATGAATAAATGAAGGATAAAAAGTAGGAAAAGTAGCGAAAAATAAGAATGTCCAAGTTTCTACAGATGCTTGGTTTCTTTCTTTGCCTAGGAGTCTTAGGAGTTAGAGGTAGAAGCTTGGTTGGGTGGTGGAGAAAGAGTGAGAGGTTTGGTGACCAGGAAGAAAGGTTGGAGGGGAAGAATGAGGGGTGGGGTTCGGGGATCTGAGGAGGCCTCCTTTTCTAATTCGGACTTAGTGGCCTTCTTCTTTCTGGATTGAGGCTGCTTAACTGCCTTCCTCGGCATTGTGGTCAAAGTTATCTCTAAAACTAAAACACCTTCTGGCGCCGTTGGTAGCAAACAAGAAGAGACGAGGGTACTCTGGGTTGAAAGGAGGGGAGGACTCAATAGGGAAGACCAGATAGTAAACGTAAGGAGGAGGATCGCCAAAAGCGTTCTCTGTCAGAAAACGGAACCAAGGGCCTAGTCCCCAATCAGCCAAGTTCTTGAGGTGCAGAACATCAATTGCGGTTTCTCCTAATGAGTTGAAGAACTCCTTGAAGAGAGCAGCGATTGGGAAGGCGAGGAAAGGCGAAGTGGCCAGAGCAGGGAGATTAGTCGCCAAGGAGAGCAGCCCCTTTTTCACCCAAGAATATGAAGACCTTCGATTGATCAGGCGATACGGATTGCAAAGGAGTATAAATTCGCTTAAATTTCACTGGCACAGGTAGCTTGAAATTCTGCCAGGTCTAGCTGAGCACGAAGCAGCTCCCTTGCCGACAAAGAAGAAAGAGGTCGAGAGTCGAAGGTGATGAGATGAAAAAGGGAGGTAGAAAAAAAGGAGTAGGAGAGAAGCTCTGCGGCGCAATCCCTGCTGATGATGACGATGGTCTTGTCGAGGTTCTGTAGAATCTGACGATGTCATCCACAGTAAGCAGAGAGCCGAATCTTCTCTCTACTCTTGTTTTTTGCAAAGTAATGAGAGATGGCGGAATGATGAGTGGAAGGGAGAAAAGGCGCACAGGAATCAAAAAAGTTGTTGGGGGATCAATAACGAAGATCCTCTCCAGATGAGGATCGGTAACTATTGGAGGTGATGGTTTTTGGGAGGCAGGCGAGTCAATCAGTGTCAAACATAATTGAAGGAGATGAGCGAGAGGTATGCGAGAAGAAGATTGGAGCATAAGATGAGGAGGGAAGTGGTGTTTTAGAAAGGGATCGTAAAGTGGCGTTTCCTCGGGTGGGGGGGAATGATAGGAGAGGGAGGGAGATGTTGCTCTGGGAGAGGGCGAGGACGAGCATGACTGTGTTTGGTTTGATGGTGAAACAGGGTGGGCACACAGAGGGGAGAGGGGCGAGGCGCAAAGTGGGATGGAAGCAGGACCTCCTTGCGGGTTCATGGTTACTGAGTGAAAAAGGTAGGTCTTACCGGACTTAGGTAGGTAGTAGGAGCCAAACACAGGTAGCGAGGTGGTGAGTGAGAGGAGGTGAAGTTGCTCGAAAAAGGAGGTAGCAGTGGCGCAGCAGTGTAGGAGCGTGGGAAGGGCGCGAGCTGGAGGGTGAGCGGTCAGACTTCAACCCCTTGCCAAAATAGGCGACGTGAACGACCTGTCCTCCAAGCGTCTGGCTGAATGGCTTGATGTGACGTGTAGGTTTGCGTACGCTATGGGCGCGGCAGTGGGCGGGAGAAATCCAGAAAGCGACCGGTCCTGCTCCTGCTACATATACACTCGCAGCATCCGGAGGCAGCGGAGGTCGGGCTGCCACGGGACTACTTCCTGCCGGGTGAGTCCCAATGGTCCCTTCCGAAAGAACCGAAGATCCTGAACCTTCAGATGCTCCCACCGTAGATCTTGGAAACTGAAAATGTTTGCAGCCAAGAATGGCTGCGTATACGGGGTTGCGTTTTCTTGTTTAGCGGCTGCGTTTCCGTTTCGGGAATGTCGTCGACCTTTTCGGATGCAGCGAGACGGCCACGTTGTCCAGTTGCATTCACAATGTTGTCCGGTGGAGAGTCGTGCTACGTCGTGCAACTAGGCCTTAAAAACAGGTGTAAGTGGGCATACAGGGCGTCGCGGTCGCCGACAGAAGACGGACCGGTCATTCCGTGAGGTAACATGGCGATGGTCGAGGCGGAGGACGCATGGTCGCTGGAGACCGACCGGTCGTAGCGTCGTGTCCGGTATAGAAAAGTAGGGAAAGGGTTATCTGACCGTGCGTTAAATAGGGAGATCGACGGCCCGGATGTAATCCACACATCGATTCAAAATGTTGGGGTTGTTCATTGTTGCGAGGCCCCAGACACATGGCCCAAAAGATGGTCGTTTTTTTGTTTTTGTTTTTGTATTGTGTATCTTACCTCTGAAGGCGGACAGGTGCACAACGCGTTTCATGCTTTCCTGAATCTTACCTGTGAAGGCGGACACGTGCGCAGCGCGTTTCAGGCTTTCTTGATTCGGGTTTGCGCTGCGCTGAGGGGCAGTCGGCTGCACCTGGCTGCCAATGTGTCTCTCTGCGGGTAGATCCGGCTGCGTGGTGGAACTCGGAGTGGCAGTTCGCAGCCAGGAATGGCTGTGTTGTTGGCTGCGTCATGTATCTTCCCTCAATCACAGCATAAGGGTCTTTTTTTTTTCTTTTTTTTTTTCCGTGTGATTGTCCCCTACATGCCCTCACTGAGGGCACAGTCACACTAGCACCTCATTGAATGTACCTGGCAGTTATCGTGGCGTTTGGGTTGTTTGTTTTTCACAGGTAGACAACAAAGTGCAACGAAGCTCTCGTGGGCTGGTCACCGCTCCGCCGCCTTCCTGGCTGCGCCCCCACGCCCGAGCGTGGTATTAGAAGGTGAGATGAAAAATAGTCCAACCCTAGATGAAGATAATCAACTAAATTGAGTAGCCCAGATTGTCAGGAACCGAGGACCGTGGAAATGAAACCCAGGGCCGAAGAAGTTGATGCCAACCATAGGACCCTTTCTTGGTGAGTTATTGAAAAAGACTACAGTCACTACAATATGGGGGATGTATCTTTCTACGTTCTTCCATGATGCGGCGAGGCCCCAAGTGCGTTACTCACACGAGCACCAACTTCTATCGAATCCGGCCGTAATAGCGGCCCGATAGCTTCGGGGAACATCCATTAAAATTGGAACGATACATGGCCAAGGATGACACGCATAAATCGGGAACTCCAATTTTTTTTACTTTATTATTATTTTTTTTTGGAAAAACTCATTGCTTATATTTCTTTAGAAATAAATGAGGTCGAGAATCCCTCAATCAAACAACCTGGAGAGGGTGCTGGGGCCATTACCCAGCTTAGGCTTGAGTTGGAAACCGGGTCCAGCATCCCATCCATTCTATCCAATCCGAGTCTCTCTTACCTCTGAAATCTTCCAAACCATAACCTTGAAACTCAGAAAAGTAGTAGAACCGTAAAAGTTCTACGAATCATATGCTAATCTCATTAAGACTAGTCATTTATTCCTTTCCCTGTATCTCCACTGCAGGAGGCAAAAACAAGATATGAACTAATCCTGAGAGGCATGCTTGCCTATCCAGCTCTTCTATGATGGCCTAAAAGTCGGCCCCCATGGTAACAATGGTAACAAGTTTCTGACGGCAGTACGATTAGTCGTGGGTGTCTGATAACCAAGTACACAACGACATCTTTCCTTCCGCAGAGATGGTCGTCAGCCTTTTGTCTTTAGCCCACGTTTTCTGAAACCAGATTACGTTTTTCCTCTGCCAGTCTGCTTTGATGATTCTACGTAGCTGCTGCTCGATTTGTCGCTGTTGCTACTGGCGGGGTATGTCCTCACCTCGAAATATTCGTGCATTCCTAGCCAGCCCAATGACCTCCATTAACACCCCCTTGCAGCATAGCGCTACATAACCCCATCCTGACTTATACTGCATTTCGCCAGGGAGGAGGCCCGTGAGCATCTATGTGTCAGACCAGTCAAATGCTCCACTTAGGGCGTCGTTCGACACTCCTCGGAGCATCCTCGAGCTCCGAGGACAAATCCTCGGAGTTTTTTTTAATTTTTGGAGGCGTCGTTCCACCTGTCCTCGGAGAGTAGCACCGAGGATGCATCCTCGGGGCCGTCCCGCGGCCAGTTTCATGAGATTATAGACGGCCACGAGGGTGTTGTCCGACCTCCGATTCGGGATGTCCGTGTGCGAGGCGCACTGGTCCACCAGCCGGACCGCGGCAATATGTCACAGGCCGTGGAAAATAAAATTGCGAACGCGGGAACGGCCCCGTTCGAAATTCAAAATTCGAATTTTCTCCACGCAGAACGACAGTGTGGGCGCACAGGTGAAAAAGCACGTCCACTGGGGGACGAGCGCGCAGGCTTGACGTCGCGTTTCGTACTTCAGCGGCACCGCGCCGCCACCGTGTGTACTGTGTTTGTTGCAGGCAAAACAAAGCGGCGTGTCTTCTCCTGCGCTCGCCACGTTCATGTGAGCGGCGCTTCCGTGGTTCAGGGACGGAGGACGAACGCTCCCATCACGGTGTAAGTTTTGTCATCACGCCTGTCTTCCACACCTCGTTGTAGGCGTCTTCGATCGTCGCCGTGGACGTTCATTCGCGCAGGTGGGTGGCGGTGGACGTTGCTCTTCGTCGTGGACGTGCGCGAATGGAGGGATGCGATGGGGGTGGTCGTGCTGTGCTGTCGCCGACGGAGAGGACAGCTGTCGCGGCGGCTGCCATTGCCGTAGTCCGTCGATACGAAGTGGAGAGGGCGGCGGGCCGCATGAAGGCAGCGCTTTCCAGGCGGCGACACAGGCTTCTGCTGCAGAGGGTGTTGGACGCCCCGAACTGCATCACGACTTCGGAGGCCGTGGTTCAGCTGTGCGCTGCAATCGGCTCCGATGTGCTTCCCTGGGCGACGCCACGTTGGTGGATGAGGCGGGGAACTGGCGGGACTTGGGAGGATTTGCGGGTGTGCGATGACGCGACGGATGACTACTTCCGGAAAAAGCTCCGCATGTCGAGGAGAGTGTTCATGGAGATCACCGAAGCCTGTGCGCCTCATTTGCAACGACAGGTCACGTTTTACAGGGAGCCGCTTCAGCCGGATCAGATCGTCGCGTACGCGCTGTATAGGTGGGCAACAGGAGAGTCGTATGACAACAGCACATCATCGTTCGGCATTGGCAGAGCATCCGGAGTTCGAGCCGTGCGCGATGTGACAGCCGCGTTGTTCAGGGTCTACGGGGACAAGATATCGTGGCCGATGGGGGTGCGTAAACACGTGGTGCTACGGGCGTTTCAGGACAAGGGCTTTCCCAACTGCCATGGCGCAGTTAACTGCACACACATCTACGTGGACAAACCGGCGAACGCTCCGAGCGAGAACTACTTCGACCGCAAGCACCATTTCTCCGTCATTGCGCAGGTGGTGGTGGACCTGGATCTGTGTGTGCTTGACGTCTTCGTTGGCTACCCGGGCAGCTGCCAAGTCTGTCGAAGCGCGCGAAAGAGGGAACGCTTTTTCGCGGGCCGCCTGTAACGCTGCCGGGAGGGGTGAGGACGAACGGATACATCTTGGGCGACAACGGGTATCCTCCTTCAGAATGGATAGTGGTGCCGTACGGAGGAATCAATCAGCACCCGAACGAGGAAAGGTTCGACAACAAACAGAAGGTCGCTAGAGGTGTTGTGGAGAGGGCGTTCGGGAGGTTGAAGGGGATGTGGAGGCTCTTCCTGCGGTCGCACAAGACGAACTTGGACACTCTACCGCAGCAGTTCACGGCCGTCTGCATTCTCCACAACATCCTGCTCGATGCTGGAATCGAGTTCGACGAAAACTTGTTGTGGGAGGTCGACGAGAACGGGGTGAGGCGGCGAGTGGACCTGGGTGCACGGCTCGAACTCCGGATGCTCTGCCAATGTCGAACGTATTGGAGCAGCGGAGTGAAGCCACCCCTATCGCCCCAACCCCGGAGCGATAGGGGTGGCTTCACTCCGCTGCTCCAATACTTGTTGTGGGAGGTCAACGAGAACGGGGTGAGGCGGCGAGTGGACCTGGGCGCACGGCTCGAACTCCCACCTTAGGCCTGTATTGGAGCAGCGGAGTGAAGCCACCCCTATCGCCCCAACCCCGGAGGAGCGGTTCCACTCGGAACCGAGTGGCCGGTCCCAATAGGGTAGTCCTCTGTCTGCCTTGTCCATTTTTTTGTGTCAGATCCCGTACCCCCCCCAAATGGGTAGTGCAATCTACCCGCTGATCTTCAATCTCCAATTTGAGGCTTACCGCCTTGGCAGTCCTAGCAATAGTTGGTGCACGCCAAACCTGCACCCTTGTCCCGGCAGCTAAGTCTGGGCCCAGCACCCGAAAAATCTGGGATGGCTGGTCTTCTGACTGTAGCCAAGTACCCTCTGCATTCTCCGTGGATGAAAGCAGCATTTGTACCCACGTTTGTGGGATAGCTGCTATCAGTTCAGCTCTGTGTTGATCCACCTTCTGCAGTCTTGGAAGCTTCTGCCGGGAACTCCAGTTTGACAACAAGCCACGGGCGAAATCTATGCCGGCAAAATCGAGATGCGAAAACTTTCGCGCCAAAAACTGAAAAAAGGAACAAAGTTTTGCGCGCGACCGTCCGTCCTCGGGCACGACGCACGGCGGGAGAAATGAGAATTCAAATCAAATAGGAAAATCGGTCCGGTGTGGGGCGGCTCCCACCTGCGCGCAATTTTCGTTTCGGGCGAGATATTTCCAGTCGTTGTTTTCGATCGACCTCGGGACGTAATTGCGGCCAGGTTCGTCCACGAAAGTCGCTCTCAGCGGTTTTCTTCACTGTCACCTGTCTGGGCCGTTGGAGTACCGTGGAGAGGAGAACGCCGTCGTCCTCTGGTTACCTGGCCGGAGGCTAGGTCCCACTTACACGAATTAAGCGATATTGACCGTAGATAGCGAAGATCAATGGCCAGAATCTCTTAAACCCCTGGAAGTGGGACCTTGCCCCGGCGTTCGAGTCCCGCTCCCCTTGGACCGGTAAACAAGGCAAACAAAGGGCCTGGCTCGACTCCTCGCCAAATGTGAAAAGTGAGGATGAATCTTTCGCTAGGACATCGACAGATTCGTCGCCATATTTTTTGTCTTTTGTGCATGTGGAGACTAGGTTTTGTCTTTTGTGCATGTGGAGACTAGGTAGGCCCGAAGAGCTCTCTGGAGATGGTAACGCAGGCCCCGGGGGGTGTTTCGAAAAAAAAAAAAAAAAAAAAAAAAAAACCCCGCAGTCCCCGGTGTCTGTTCTCCGGCGGAGTGCTGCTGAGGTCTATGATTTTGGTGTTCTGTGGCCAGGTGGCACGATGGAGGAGGCGAGCTGGGCAAATGGTTGGGCCACGAGGCCCAACGACGAAGAAAGAAGGGGAAAACAAGGCCGTGGGCCGTGTCCCACTGACCTGAATTCTCCATTTCTGACTGTAGATTACCAAGATCGACGTCCAGAAACCAAAGAATCCGACCGAGCAACCGGGAACGGACCCCGGAGCGCGAACACTCGGGCTCGCTGTACTCCTCTCCAAATGTGCAAAAATCGCACATCCCACAGATAATAACGCTCCTCAGGTGCTATGTTTTCGAGACAGGGAAACAGGATGTCGCCGTTGTGGGCTGTCGTCAACACTCAGACAGTTCCACCTCCGGTTATTTGTTGACGTGTAGTACGTTGATTGATGTGCACACGGTGACGATGTAACCTGTCTTCTATCGGCTCTCCTTCTATCCCCTGCGTTTTTTTGGTCTCCATAGCTGCATCCCTCGTCTACACGTTTTTTTGGTCTCCATAGCTGCATCCCTCGTCTACACGTTTTTTTGGTCTCCATAGCTGCATCCTCCGTTAATTGGATGCATCCTTCGTCTCGAAAGGGTATGTGGGGCGGTTGGCATGTTCTGTTCCTCTTTTCCTTTCTATGGACTTGATGTTTTCATTTCCGTAGACTTGGTGTTTCCCTTTCTTTAGACTTGACTTCGGGCGTCGCTCCACCACTCAGCACATGCACAGAAGACAGAAATTATGGCGGTGCATCTTGCCATGTTGTAGCTGAAGATTCATTCTCATTTTGCGCATTTGGTGAGTGGTGGATCGAGGGCCTTTGCACATTTGGTGAGTGTTGGAGAGGGAGGCACTTTGACACTTGTCAAAAATTACGGCGGTGAATCTTTCCATGTTGTAGCTGAAGATTCACTTCCTTCATTTCTCTTCACCTCTTTATACTACTACTGTAAGTAAGTTTATAGAGGTGAACTCCTGTAAGTAAGTTTATAGAGAGTTCACTGGCACTTCTGTTCCGGTTTGCCTGTCTGTAGGAATTCGCATTTGGCACTATTCAAGTTTTCTTGTTTCCGATGGAGACCTATGAGCGCGAGTTGCTTGAAGCTGAAGAAGGAGCATCATGTAGGTGAGTCGCTCCCATCCCTTGCCGCCCCTTCTGGCCATTCAAGGTGTGTCTTTTGCTTCGTGGGTGTTTGTTCTCCCCTCCTCCCCCCTCCCCCCCCTCCCTTCCCCCTCCCCCAAAACCAACAGTGTTGAACTATCGAAGGTACACCTGGATAGCGAGAGCGCACACGCGCACGAGTGCGTGTGTAGGTGTGTAGGTGTCGTCCCTTCTCTAATTCTCTCCCTCGCGAAATCTCAGCACATGGACTTGGCAGCTTGAATGGGAATAATGTCACGGGTATCGCAGCACATGGACTTGGCAGCTTGAATGGGAATAATGTCACGGGTATCNGGACTTGGCAGCTTGAATGGGAATAATGTCACGGGTATCGCAGCACATGGACTTGGCAGCTTGAATGGGAATAATGTCACGGGTATCGCAGCACACGGACTTCGCAGCTTAAAGGCCTCGCCACACCACTGTCGAAACGGAAAACGAACGAATGCATCTTCCCGCGGAGACGGGCAAGATGCATCCGTTGCTATGAATAGCAATGGATGCAGCTTACCACTTTCTGCGGCAGATGCATTCGTTTCGACAGTCGTGCGGCGAGGCCCTGAATGGGTGACATTACAACGGTTCTCATGAGCTCTTTTTGTCATTTTTTTTTCCCTTTTTTAACATCACATATGTGCACGGTCTCCATTCTGATATTACTAAGAATAAAGACCGTGAAAGCTTGCGTTTTAATTAAAATGATTTATTGTTATTATTGTTATGATTATCTTTTTTCTATCGAAGCTACACGTGGATACACTATCGTGCCTGATACACTATCATGCCTGCGCGCACGTGTGTGTGTGTGTGTCTGTGTGTGTGTGTGTGTGTGTGTGTGTGTGTGTGTGTGTGTGTGAGCGCAGGTGTTGTTGTTGTGTTTGTGTGTATCGTCCCTGTTCGTCTGTCCTTTTTCTCCTTCCCTCCAGAAATCACAGCTACTGAGGGTTTTGAACTCTATCAGTTGCTTGTATGTATCCATCTGGTCCCTTCTCGACGCTCGCTCTGGATCCACCTTTCTGTCTCTCTCCCTCCCTCCTTCCCTCCCTCCCTCCCTTCCTCCCTCCTCTGCGCTTTCGCTCGTCCTTCACGTCTCCCTGTGCTCTCTTACGGCCCTAGGGGTCTCGCTCCATCACTCACCAACTGTGGGAAAGGCAAGAAAATGGCGCGTGTATCTCTCCGCATTCTAGCTGAAGATACATCCTCCATTTAACAAATTTGGAGAGCATTGCAGCGATGGTGTATGAATCTGCTCCACGCTCATTTTCGATCGATCGTTCTGTCTGTCCCTCTCTCTTCCTTTCTCTACCCCTTCTCTCGTCCTGTACGTTTCTCCCTTGTTATATATATGTATCTGTACATTGACAAGAGTGGTTTGTCCTGGGTGGTCTTGTCCCGTCGTTTGGCCTGTGTAGGACTGCGGCGGTGCTTGCATGTGGGACTTGCCATCTAGGATCCGTTTTTTGTGCTGTTGCTTATTGCCCCCTGTTTTGTTGTATTTGGCTGTTCCCTTCCTCTCTTCT